GCGAGCGTTCGGGTTGCAATGATTTATAATCACTAAAATAACAGTTATACGTAACAAATATATGACTGGACCAGCTAACTGTGCTACTGGACTAAAATTCCGTAACGCTTTTTTTACATTTTGTTTCTCTTATAATTTCCGAACGATGCTATGGAGCATCTCAGATTAAAAGTGTGCTTAAAAGAGAAAAGTGTGCTACAGCTTTTGAGATGTTTGCACAGCCTATACGTTCTTTCATTCAAAAAACTATGATGAAAATACAAACACCTACTTTTCAAAACTTATCCGAGAAGGTAGACACTTGTATTTTCGTCATAGTTTTTGAATGAAAGAACCTGTAGACTGTGGAAACATCTCAAAATCTGTAGTATACTTTTCTCTTTAATCTAAGACGTTCCACGTCTCTGGTCATAGCACCATTCAAAAACTATAAGAGAAACAAAATGTAAAAAAACGTTACGGAATTTTACTCCGATAGGAGAGTTAGTTACCACAGTTAACGTACAGTAATTCTGGACGAAAGTGATGTATTATTGCACAAAAAGCAAGTCCGTTGTAAAATGATTGAAAATCCTTTTCTGTTTGTAATCCATATGGTTCTGTTATCATCTGGCACCAATTTAATAGTTTTTCATTTGAAATATCATCTACACAAATCAAGTGAAAGAAAAAAGGAATTATTTTTTCTCTAAAATTGTTACCATTTTTTGAATGTTTAACATCGTGTGGTTGTTGTATATGATTTGTTACTAAATTATTATTATTATCAACAATTGAATATCGATCATCGTTATTATTATCATCATATAAATGACGAATTTCTTCTATTGTACAACGTTTTGAATTCAAATGTTGGTATCTCGATGCTGGATCAATTGTGTATAATTGATAATTCGATTTTGTATTTTCTGGCGTACTTTGCGATAATAACATGTAAATACTTTCGCGTTCAGCTAAAATGTTTAATGGCGGTTCATTTTTAGCAAATTTATGTAGTATCCAAGCTGTATCCAATGTCGCCAAAAATCCGTGACCAATTCCAGTGCCCAAAGGCCAGAAAGGCTTAAAAAAACAAAAAACTAATTGAATAACAGAAGAAAACATTTCAGCATTTTACTTCAAGTAAAGAATCTCCAACTAACGCCATAAATAAACGTTTTCCCTTTCTTTCAACAATCCGACTGGCATTCACTGAATGAAATAATGATGTGAAATCAAACATTTGTACATCCGGTAATCCATAGTGATTTTCCTAAAATGAACAAGAACATAACCATTCTAATAATGAAACTAAAGATTATTATCTCAAAACTCACAGCAAATTCAAATGTTGATGCTGTTGATTTTGTTGCGAATTGTGCTGCTTCACATGCAAAATTGCAAAGTGCTTTGAAATCAACATTTTCACGTGCTAATAAACGAACAGCATCTGGATAATCGTTTTTAATGACATCTTTTTCTAATAAACTTTGTTTTTTCGCTGTCATAACAAAATAATGTGTATCATTCTTATAATAGGCTATATTTTCTAAATCAATTGATGTCTGCTGTTTTAATTCTTGAAAAAATTGTGGATTATACAAACGTGCCACGCCAGAAATCTCTGAAAATATTCAAAAGATATGTAATTAAATAATAATCATATATAAAAATGTCTTCTCAAGTACCTTCAAAAAGTTGTTCTTCTCGTGTG